AATTAACGATCCACTTTATGTAAATTCACATCGAACTTATGATCTAAGAAAACCTTGAAGAAATCCTTTGATTCAGAGTTTGCCGTGTTATGAAAATAATAATACATGTTAATTAACACATGAGTGAGTTAGTCCATCAAAGTTGAAGGCCTACGAAGTAATTAGAACTACAAACGTGCAGCATGTCATAGGCGAGATGAATAAATAGCAATCATTTCCATTTATGCATACGATCAGATGACATACTAGCTTCAGCTGCTGGTTGATAAAACAAGAGTTTGTTTAAGACAACTTTCATTTAGCAGAGCTCCTAAAGAAACTACCATTCTTAACATCAATTATTTTTAGCTGCTTCTTTTCAAAACATGAACTACAAAAAGTATTTAAATGCCGTGAAGGTTTCCGATTTATTAGAAAAACAATGCTCTACATCTGGTGCAGCCTTCTTTTTGTCTATTGGTTCGTCTATGACAGCAATAAAAATGGAGACTAGCACCATGAACATGTGTTCAGAGATCATGATTTGCATCAAACTCAAACTCTTACGAAAGGGTTTTATGGGAATGCTGCAAGTCCGCAACTCTCCAGCGAGATGAATCAAATATAAGCCTGGTAACGACAACTCTTAACAGCAACCTTTGATTATCTCGGGCATGATGAAGTGGATGGTAAATAGCAATGAATCCGGCAAAATTTTCAACACCCTTTTAATATGTTGTGTGCTGGGTAAGTACAATCCTAGTTATTCCTATTTGTTTTGCGGTAGCAATGACATCGTCGAAATGAACTTTCAATTTGTGAAATAATTATTTCAATTCTTACTCCTACTGAACTTTGATAACGAAACATACCATACTCAACACATGTCCTTTCTAAACTATTTGTTAATCATTAGAGCAAAACTTGGGGATCTTTGTATAATCATTATTGTAATTTTCTAAATATTCTTCGCTTTCCATACAATACCAAATAACTGAAAAGGAATTACCGGAATGACAAATTCGTATAAGTGTAAAGACAGGTATTGACAGCAACCTATAATAGTATCGTGCGCTTGATTAATTGCGAGATGAGTACGACTGAGTCCAACAAAGTCTGCAAATGTTTTTTTAATACTTGTGCGCTGGTTTATACCACCTTAATTATTTCTCGACAATAATCATTTCCATTTATGCCTACGAATAGATGGCACACCAGCTTCAGCTTCCGGTTGGTAAAACAGAAGTTTATTTAAGACAACTTTCATTTTGCAGAGCTCAATAAGAAATTATTATTCTAAACATCAATTATATTTGAGCTGCTTCTTTACAAAACTTGAAATAGAAAGAGGATTTTAATGCCGTGAAGTTTTTCGATTGTATTAGAAAAACAATGCTTCACATCTGGTACAGGTTGCTTTTTGTCCATTGGTCCGTCTATAACAGAAAAACAAGAAAAAGAAAAAGGAGAGGGGAATAACGCTATGAACCATGATTTGCATGATGAAGTGGGTGATAAATGGAATATAATCTGGCAAAATGTTTAAAACCCTGGTTATGTGTTGTGTGCTGGGTAAGTACAACCCCAGTTATTCCTGTTTGTTCTGGGTTAGCTACGAAACCGTCGAAATTGACTTTCCATTTGTGGAAATGAATTGATCAATTGCATGAGTGATGAGTACAACTGAATCCGAAAAAGTGTGCAAAACTTTTTTTAAAAAGTTGTGCGCTGGGTTAGTACCACCTTAATTGTATTTTGATTTTCCTTTTGCGAAACATTTACATCGATTTTGTTACATCCTTTGAAATTCGGCCAAACCAAACCGAGAAAAATGTAAGGTGCTGGTTATTTAGCACTCTTAATCAAAACAAAACAAACCAGACTCTAAAGATGTTCGCATTAAACTCTTAGTTTACAATTAGAGAAGGATCTCTTGTAAATTGGATTCCTGACGCCTTTTAGATTCCATACAGTGCCAAGTAATCAGAATGCAAGTAGCACAGGCGAGACATTCATGCGGTGGTCATGTTGTTTGCGTTATGGTTGTCTGCACAACAGCTTTGGCAGCCATAATTAGGATAACAGGAATAGCTTAGTTGCTATCATTTTGTGCCACTATGACATGATGTCAGAAGGGAAACACGTCTCCTTTCTTTTTTGCGTCAGATAGCTGCTGAACGTTCGACGAGCCTAGACAAGCGATCAAACTTAATCCACAGGGTCCATTTAAATTGGCATTAGATTAGACAGATGCAAATTATAACATTCGATCGGGCGTTTGGGAAAAAAAATGGTTGAATTGGTGTACTTTTTTCTTTCTCATGGCAAGTTAAAACACCATTACTACTAATGAATTTCGATAGTTCGAATTACTACCAATTTTCGATAGATAATGAGCTGAGGAGTTAAAGAGGCGTGCAATCACAGAAACATGCTCATGAAAACAACTTAAAAAATAAAACAATGATAGGTATTAAAACTCAGCAAGGGAACTCCTTAGGGCCACATGAAGACACTTTCTTTCATTTATGCTTAAATTAAAAATTCTGAATATGGGCTTTTATTATAGTCTTCTTTCCATTCTTGTTTAATGGATAATAAATTCAAATAAGTTGAAAACAAGTTTTGTTAGCTTTTGATTGATAATGATAGCACTACTTTTTCATGTAGACCGCTGACCAGAAGGTTATTTCTGTCCACGTGTACTCGATGTAATGCAACTGAATACTCATCAAAATAGTCACTGCTATGTAAGTCGTGGAAATCCTAATTTACCTTAAGGTCATCTAAATATTTGGTAAAAAGAAGAAGCAATGATCCAGCAATGTTATGAAGATATTCAGAAACCAACGAAGTCCATTCCCCTTTTAATGAACCGAGCTGGAGGCGTCGACAACCCGACAAGGAATAACGTTTTTTACGACTTTGCCCAGGGCTATGGCGATATCAAAATGCTGAGGAAACCGACACGGCGCCAAAGTCTGGACAGTTGGTATTTTATTATATAAGAGTAACTACAGCAAACATCGGGTTTGGAGAACCATACGGGATTTAGCCTGGTAACCACTTTGCAACAAAATGGTTTGCTTACGAGGGAAAGTAGAGTTCTAATGGAGTTTTGCACGTTTAAACCCTTAGTGAATATATTAGGTTTTGTCGCATTCTGTTAGAAAGTTGAAACATAAGGAGGTCAGGAAACGTTTTTCCAAACTGACATCATTTTTTGTTGATTTTAGAGACAAAGCTTTACATCAGTTTTATTTGACATGCTTTTTCTATATATTGTATCTGTTCTGCTGTAGTTTAGAAAGAGAATTCGAAACTTTTAAGCATTAAAATCGTCGTTCTCGATATCTCCCGTCCGTGTGGAATGGGGGAGGGAGAACGTCTTGTCATAGGAGAGTGCGAAGTCTAATATCGTAAAAAGGGTTGGGTTTGTTCAAAAGTGTCAGATTCGACCTGCCGAATTATTGCAGAGTATGAATGTTGATTGTTTGTTAACTGTAATGGTTTGCGAACTTTGATGGTTTGGCCTTCTCTCAAGGCTTGGGTCTTGCTCAAACAACTAGATTATTTGAACCATTTTAACGGGGATTCTGACTGGCTTGTTGTAGCGTGCTTTATGAGAGTATAAAGCATGATGACGACACTGCTCTTTGCTTTTGAAATGGACTCTGTTTTAAAAATTGAAAGTAACGCATGGGGAGCTGAACGGATTCTTTATTAGAAAAGAAATGAAGAGGCCTGATCTGTGCTCTCTTCTGTTGTAAAGCACTTACGAAGCGCCTAAAGCACTCAACAGGTGGAGAGAAACACGATAACAAATTGTCATTAGATTATTTTAGTACTTTTCTGAGAATTTCCTTAGATAACCACAAGCTTCTTTAGTCACTCTTTTTAGTAAATTTAATGCGTCAAAGAAATACTCTGAAGCCGTGTGCCCCCTCAAACATCGGCAAACGCGATGCAAACTGGTGACTCTGATGATATGAAAAGTATATTCCGTGAAAATAAGAAACTGAATTTATTTTTCCCATTCGTACTTCAGCTATCCAGACTTTGATGATACAATCGCTCAGAGGAGGTAGGGCTGCGGTTTTTTCTCTATCTTTATAGATGTGTCACTTAAAATAAACTTTGGCCCAAAAAAAGGGAGGGTGTGATTTTGATCCATTTACAAGTCGTTGGATGAGAAGGAACGAAGCTGCAGCTCAAACTATAGAACCGCCACTATCAAGCTGAGGTTAATGAGGGTGATTATGATGAAAAATGTTTGAAATCATGCTTTAAGATGGGATATTGAGCTTATTTTCAACAAGGAAAGATTCATAACAGATATGCGAAGCACAGAAACAATTGAAACGAAGAAACATTTACAAGGTCCAGGGCGGTGATTTAGTTCCCACTGAAACCAAAGAATAATGGGGTTTTTATCAATAAGCACACTAAAAACAGCAAGCAGACTGGTGGCACATTGGTTTGGTAAGAGTAAGCGGGATTTGTTCCTGGGTTAATGAAAGACCACTGACTATTTGTAAATGGGGAAACCAACCAAATGGGGGCAGATATAAAATCATGTTAGTCAATTCAAGAAGAAGCAACACGGCCATTTTGAGAATCAAGTCTCTTTTGGTGAAGATGTTCTGACCTAGCCATATATTTGTGAAATGCCCAAAGGTAAGACCACATTACATCTGTATACTAGACTGTAAAACGAAGGGCGCGTAAGGAAAGTATCAACAAGCCACAGAAGAGATAGCTATGTTCACGTGTTAGTGTTAACTGCGCGTGTGCGCCCCAATGTTTCTTATGTTTCCCAAACGTGAAGAAAATTCACCTTGGTTAAATGATGAACAAAGGTTTGGGCTTCAAGACGAAATATGTAAGCGCGTTAGCATCGAGGAACTATTTTGAACTTTGTTTCAACAAATTAATTTTTATAACAAGTTGTAGCCAAATACTGCAACAACAGTTAATTGTCATGATATGGATGAGTTGTTAATATATTCCATCGTATTGCTACTCAGCATAGACCATTTCTTATCTGTTTATTGTATTTTTTGAAACATAAGCCTGTCTAGACTTTTATTTCGTGAAACGGCCGGAGTACGATAGTTGGCGACGCAATAGCAGCGGGAGAGCGAAAAAAGAGGGAGGTCAGGACCCGGTCGCGTAACGAACGCGTTAGATACGCAAGCTGACCCAAATTTTTCGATTCACTGCTTCTTTCAAGCCGTCTACTATCACGCTTCATTTTACTAACTGACAACCAGGAACAGGCTATGGAAATATTTTTTTTGCGGTTTTTTAAGCTACTGGGACAAACTCTGCCCAGATTAACTATGGAGACTGCGTTGGAGTACCTTGTACACTAAAATGTGGCAAGAATAGATGGGTGCAAAATTGCACTTTCCCTGATGGCATATGCAATCTTAGTTGTTCCGTAACCAGCTGCGAGGGAAGCGCATCTCTCATGTTAGAGCACTGCGGACAAAATTGTAGTCAGACACCTAGCCAATGTGCCTATCAATTTAATGAAACCAAACTCAAAGAGAACATCCATTCTCAGACGTGCAACGCTACAAAATTTAACCTCACAAGCGGCGAACAGCACTTTGTTACCAAACAGATCTGCCATTGTCAAGGTGATCAGTGTCATCTGATATGCAATAAGATACAGTGCACGCAAACCTGCAGAGGAAGAAAAACTGGTGAGTGCCTGATCCATCTAACTGGCGGCTAAGGCTCTCTATAAAGAGCATGGAGGTTTTTCATGTTTCGTAATCGAAAAGCAATGTGCGAATCAGAAGATTAAACGGTGCGTTTCGTGTACAAATACACGGTTCCATAACAATCGTTTAATCAAGCGAAACGTGACTCCCGCCCCAAAGCATATGGCTGAGCTGTGGTTATTCCGAAAAGTTATTGTCTTGTGATGTATTCATATATAACCATCACTGATTCCTTCAGTTATTTTTATAATGATTGCCTTGAACCGCACTCGGGAAAAGTTTTCTACTTTTCTGAGGTATAATACCACAGATATGCGTAATCGCAACCGAAAATGAAAACCTTTTTAGTCAAAGGAGTAGAGGTAAGGAGTAGAGGTAATTGTCAGTATTTTGACACAATGCGAACTGAAGTGGACCAGAAACTAAAGTGAATGTCCACAGCTCGGAAGAAAGTACATCGCGATTAAGTGTCCTGTTGAAGAGTTTCCTTAATTTGCAAACAAAAATGTAATTTCTTTTGTTTAACTCGATTTTTTTTCATATTTGCCTGCCCCACACAAGCACCACGGAGCTTTTGATACTTTCGACGATTTGAAATTAAACTTTTTTGACTTGCAAAAGTTAGGGTCGCTTATTGAAATGTCTCTCGACGACAGTTTTCAACCGCAAAGTAGAAACATTTTGTAAAACTATTCCCAAGTACGACCGATCCCTTCTGGTTTTCCGGCTGGGAAAAAATCGTTTTGACGATAAAAAAATCGAGTACATTTAAGAGTTTTAATCATTCACAGCGGCCATTTTTTTACTTGCTCTCCGTCCGAATTTTTGCCCCTACAGTGTTAGGCAATTTTCATGTATGATGTGGTTTTGATCAACATCTTTCCTTAAAGATTCATCAAAATCTACAGTAACTTCGCCGCCTTCACCATCACCCGGGAGAGCACTTGCAACCTCGCCATCGTCATCGCCATCGTCAGTTGAGCAGCTGGTATTTCTTCGAAATAGTCATTTACCGTATTTACGTATGTCGCTTTTCAGGAACTTCTCTTTTACAGATGTGACCGAGATTATTTTTTCAATTCTAGGCAGATGAGTATGTTTCAAAATTTGACGAAATAAATATTACTAGAGAGAATTCCATACAGGTATTTAATTTTCATAACTTACAGGCTTTTAACTTTGATATATGTTTTTAAATTATAAGAAGTAAAATCTGACCTTTCCAGGATGTTTTCTGCGACAATTGTGTTTTTTTTTACTTTAGGCAAAGGAGTATGTTTCAAAATTTCACGGAATAAATATTACCAGAAGGACTTCCATACATGTATCTAATTTTCATAACTTAAAGGCTTTTTAACTTTGATATATGATTTTAAACCATAAAAAGTAAATATCTGACCTTACAGGATAAACCGCCATTCAAGCCATTTGAGGGGAGAATGGTGAGGCTTAAAAAATACTCCAGGCCTCTAAAAGAGTTCTATGGCAAATGAATACCCTGGACACCATTTGGAGTCTTTTTCTGCATCTTTTATATGAATTGTATATATATGAGACAGTCTAGTCAATGACCTGGAAATATTTTATGTAATTGTAGGAGGCTGTAACTGTGTTTGAAGATTTCACCTTAAAAATCAAGAACGTCACAAATGTCAAGACCGACGTAGAAGAGGTTAAAACACTGAAAGCATCCATCTTTGAGGTTGTAGAGGCCGTCGAGAAATTTGCTCTTAATTATAGCAAGCGACACCTGAGTGGAATGAGACCTTCAAAAAGGATCGTTTCCTCAAAAATGGGTGAGCTTGCGGCCTTGAATCCTGTTTATTTTCAAAGTCTATTCCTCTGTTACTTACTGATTTGCTGACTGACCGACTGAGTTGTCTAATTTCCTAGATATTGTAAGAACTCAGGTAGAACCCAACTATTTAGAAACGTTATTGTTGATGTCATCGCTTCATCTGTTATTTTAATTTGTTTGATACTTTGATTTTTCGCGATGGAGAAGGAAATTCAAGTTATTCATGAACAATAGACAACAGAAAATAGGAATCCTTCAAATTGTGAAGTCCTTACTTTTCCCTTTTTATTGAAACTTTTCTTAAATAATACTGAGATTGGTGAGTAACGCTCTACCAACTGAATTGTCAAATATTACAAATACTTTCCGCTTACTTCATAATAGGCACTGAACTCTAAATTGGCCTTTCGTCTGCCATGAAAAATGCAAGAAAAACTCCCTTATGAACTCTCCAGTTCTCCAACAAAACGGTTCGAGGAACGAATTGAGTTTTCACAATTTTAGTCCGTGCAGTACTATTCACTTTTTCATCAGTTTTACATTGGAAAAACGTTGTAATATGGTTGAAATCGTCAAATAGTTGAAGTGCAAATACGATACAAACAATACACGTCCATCCAATAAGATTATGAAATATTTTTGTACACCGCAAAACGCATATTGTGTAGATGTGCTATTGTAAATTTCACCGTAAGTGCTTTCATTTGTTTTTTTTTTCCCGACAGTTTTGGTCATTCAAAAAGCCTATCGCCAGAATGCAAGTGGTTTCCACTTTGAGGAACGGCAATTGCAAGCGAGAATCGATATCGCTTCTTCAAATTTTGAGGAAAATGGTTCGTATTAGCTACTGTGGTAACTTTACAACTTTTAGTGTTACCTCGTTTTCTCCAATAGAAATTTCTGTATTGAAATAAAGCCTCATAAAAACGCGCTTTCTTAGATTATATAGTCTATCTTCTTTTATCATTCACTTCTCATTTAATGTCACATACCTCATACCCTGATAAACATTTCAATTTTGTGTTTTTTGTTGTTGTTGTTGTTGTTTGATAACTTTTTTGTTGATTCTTGGGGGGTTTAAAGGATCAATGGTAGTTGCTTTTGTGTACAAGGATCTGCATGACCTACTTCTGACAGATCAGGCCATCAGGAGTGAAACAGACAACCAAAGGTGACGTAATTTTCATATTATTCCACGTCGTTTTACCCCAAAAACACATAACACGGAAACACATAAGATCTAAATTTAATTAACTTGAACTTAGAAACTTTCCAAAAACCTGAACTAAGGTTGGAAGACTCCCTGCTTGTCTCTAACCATTCCGCCTTCATGAAAAATTCGCTTGAATCTACCAAAAGTATGCGGTTCCTTGGTTCTGATTCATTTTCAAATACAATTTCCTTCATAGGTATATCAACTCCAGGATAATGGCCGTAACTATGGACTTCAAGCAAGAGAAATTGCGAGAAAATGTCATCTTAAAGTTCAAAAACCTAAAGGTAACATGAAAACTAGCTGCTATGCGTTTTTTTATTTATTTTGACAAGATAAAATCCATTTTCAGATCCTGACAGCGGAGAAGCGCTGTATGTTCTGGAGTGGCCTCAGCAAAAGGTAAAAAAATTACAATATATTACTGTATAGTATTTATTCCTTCTTAAATTAAGTATGAAGGAGTATGAATGAACTTTCTCAGATGTTTTTGCGCAGATTAACACTTTGCTAGGAGCCAACATGTTGTCCTTTTTAGAGAGGGGACGTCTCATTGAAGGGTTCCCGCAACTTTGACTACAATGAAAGAGAAACAGCACAAAATTTTCAAACGTTACCTCTTTCCCAAACAATGAATAATGTTGTGCCTTCTGTTAACTTTACTTTTTTTTATGTGTGACAGCTTTTCAGAGGAAGGATGCCATGTAATTACATCAAAAAGCAACTCAGAAGAAACAGTTTGTAGCTGCAATCATTTGACGCATTTTGCCGTCTTAATGGACTACGACAGTAAAACAAAGGTGATAAGGTTATTTTTGCCTCACTCAATAATTTTATGGGCTCAATAAACTTACTCAAAGTTGTCCTTTACTTTTTCTATTTTTTACACAGCTCACCGAGGAGGACGAAACAATTCTGAAAATTATCACCTACATGGGACTGAGCCTTTCCATCGTCGGGATACTTTTAACATCAATACTTTATTCTTGTCTCACGTAAGTAATGTACCTGAATTATAATAAGGTATATTTTTAACTCCCCTCAACGAGGCTGGTGAGAAAAGAGATCTCAGTGCAATTCTCCGTGCAAACAAGAACATGCATGTCGAATAATTCACAAATTCAAGCTACATTTCATGCCCCATCACGAAAGTTTGAACAACTTACGGTTTCGCGGCTTTTGAATTTTTTAAGGTTTTGTTATTTTCTTCGTAATAATTTCCATTTTTGACTCTTTCCTTTGCTGTCAAGATTTAATTAATTTTTTGCCACATTTTTCTGTGTCTTTTAATTCAATTTTGTTGTGTTTTGCTGTTCTTGCTGTCTTCAGTGTGTTGATGTTATTGTTGATGTTGCTTTTATGTTGTCTCATTCATTCTTTTTGTTTTTACTATTACTTCACCAGAGATGTTCGTCAACCTCTCTCTCAAATTCGACTGAGTGTTTCTATGTCCCTTGGAGCTGGACAGATCATCTTCCTCGCCGGAATAAACGCCACAGAAAACAAAGTCAGTGGCTTCTCCCTCTATCCATAGAATGAATTTTCTCTTTGCATTGTAAATTGTCGAAAGGAGCACGTTAAGAATTATGCAAAAACTCGTCCTTTCCACAGGCTGCCTGTGTTACAATAGCAGCTCTGTTGCAGTATTTCTTGATGGCCGCTTTCTGTTGGATGCTGATCGAGGGAATTTATCTCTACCTCTTCGTTGTGAAAGTTTATAACATTAACACCAAGATTTACATGTATCACGTCATCTCATGGGGTGAGTTTTTTTATTTTTTTCAAACATGTACTGGTAACTGTAACAATGTTTTCGGATCGCCAAATCTGGTGTTCTCACGCAGTAGAAGTGTCTCGATTTCCTTCCTTTCTTTATGGGTAGGTCTTCCAGTGATCATGGTGGCAATTTCACTTGGCATCGCTGCTGGAAAAGAAGGGTTACAAAGCTATACGAGTGATAAACAGTAAGAAAAAAATCAACGGTTTGTTGTTGCTCTTCTCCTTTTAATTCGTTGCAGTTAATTCTTTGTTTGTTTTTGCATATAGTTTGAAGTCGGTATCATTTCATTTGCTGAAAATTTGTGTTCCTTTCTTGTGTTTCACTTCCTCGAGTTTAGTTGCTGGCTTTCCTCGACTAACAACCTGATCTGGATATTCGTCGCCTTTGTGGCTTTCATTGAAGTGGTGAGTTTATGATTAATGTTGGTGATTGTGATTGGTATACCTAGACTACTTGCTGCTAAAGATTTTTTTCACTGCTCTTTGAAAAGTATTTATGATATGAACCCACACAATATTAACATTTCCCTTTTCCTATTTACTCACAACAAACTTTGGACGTAGCTGCTGTTTGCGAGGATGCTGGTCAATTCTAACCTAATGATAGCCTTTAATAGCGAGTAAAACCTGTTGACACAATGTCTACACAGAAAAGAGATAGCTTCATAAACTCTCTAACTTTACTACATACTACATAGTATGAGTAAAATGACTCTTCCCCTTCCTTGTTGAAGTTTTCTTACTGTTTCACATTGATATACCAAGATATGTTCTTCGCCCAAAATTAACTCTTAAAAAACATTGAACAAGATTAAAGGAGCAGGAGGAGTAGGAGATATTTAATTTATGCAATTTAACATGAGGATTCAGTTTGCATAGTTCAGACACTTCAGTTCGCAATTGCTTTAGCTCATTGTCAGAGAATCGAAACTCATAATCTAGGGCTGGGAGTTCTACTCCCTGTAAATGACTCTTTATCCCACGCTTGTTACCAAACTAGTAATGTATCTGGCAAGGATCCGCTTCTGCTTTGGCTATTCGATAACCATATCTAAATAATCAATTTATTTCTATTATATTCTTCAGCTCAATATCTTGATACTAGTACGAGTCATAAAGGAGATGACCAATCTGTTGCAGCCAACAGGGGAAGACGACCATTCTCAGCAAATACGGTAAGGTTCACATCATAAAACTGTAACAAAATAGTGGAAGAGGTTGCCATGTCCTCCTGTGAGGCTCTGCTCACCCAACTTCCTCATTCCTTAATCAGTAAGGCCTCACGATATCTAAAACTGAAAATTCCTTGTCAAAGGAAAATAAAGGAATTTTCTCTCTTTAACTCCTAGAACTGGCATCAAAGCATGCGTGGTGATGATTCCCCTGCTGGGTGTCACGTGGCTATTTGGTCTCCTCTCGTCTGCACATAAAGCTTTCGTTTACATCTTCACCATACTTAACTCTACTCAGGTCAGTGTTCGACGATAACTCTCAAAGTTAGTCAACCTCTATCATTATTTTACTTTCTAGCTAAGTGAGACACCATTCCAAGTGAGACACCATTAAAATGATCACATGATAATTTTTTGGAATTTTGAAAACAAAAATGCAGTTGACTATGCAAGAGAAGGCAGTCTTCTTTTTCAATTCTAAGATATGCAATTTTCTTACCTTCTTGTAAATCTTAATAGGCATTTGACTAATTTGTTTGCATATTGTAAAATTAATGATCTTGAAATCGTTTTCATACTGCAGGGTTTCCTGATTTTCGCTCTACACTGTATGCGAAACACTCAGGTAAGAAAAGAAACATCAAACTGATCATTAACACTATATCATCAAGTTTTAGTGTTTCGATAGATATTCGAATAATAGTGCTAAAAACCATATTTCGTGTTGCTCGTCTATCAGCAGATCAGTGAGAGAGATTCAAAAGAAAGATGAATATCGTTTTTCCATCTTCTATAAAGAAAAAATCCACAAGGAAGAGCTCACAGGTCAATCCAAGTGAGGCTGGGGATGTATGGGCAGTTGAATTGCAGTCTTGTACTGAGTTTGAATCGAAATCGCACCT